ACCTTTCTTTTCCAGTTGCTTGGCCTATAAGCTGAAACTGCCCTGTAGAGCTTTCCTATCACTTGCAATAGGCTTATCCTAAGTTCATTAATAAGTCATCTTTAATAGCAAATCCCCAGCTGCATACCATAGTGATATTTCACTGTAAAAGAACCATAAATAAAGAGCTAGGGAAACATTGCCTACTACAAAAAACTAACTGAAATGCCAGGATGTAAAATATAGAAGCTTATTGGAAAAGGGTATGGAAATACCCACTGAATTCCCCCGTCTTGGCTATGTAAATCATACCTGTGGAATCTGCAGAGCCCTTGACGTTTTGAGAGATTTGCAGTGCATTGAGATTTTTCAATAAGTGAACCTATGTTTGGGTGCCTGGGGGGAAACCTTTGTGATTTTTTTGCCTTCATTTTCTGGGCAAAAATCATATTGCTTTCTAAATGAAAACTCCTTTCCTTATTGCACTGGCTGGCATTTTGAATTTCAAACTTAGACATTTATTATGAAGTCTTGTTCTTCAACTTTTTCTTTGTCCCTGTATTGAAGTCATACAGTCCCATTTTGCATTTTCATTCTCCCCCCCACCCTCCTATGTCCACTACAAAGACAAACTCCATCCAAAGAGATTGCCAAAACACTGCAGGCACAACGCTGAAACTGCAGCAGGCTATGAAATGCTGCAAAAATGTTTCTGTCTTACATTGCCTGAGTTGTTACTTGCCCATCGTCTCTGTGGGGCTGATGGTTGGTTTCAAGAATGACTGATCACAAAAAGTTAAGCTCAAAACTAAGATTTGCGATAGGTTTCATGTGATTTTGCTTATGCTTCCTACTGACCTTGGGGTGAGTGGCTCCAGTATTAAATGCGTGACCCGTAAAGTTTATCAATCATGTTTGCTGTGGTGGAGATTGTGAGGCTGGAATGAGCTGCTCAGTCTAGTCACGGAAATGGTTCATTGTCTGGTCAGAGAGCTCATGTACAGATGTCTGCAAACAAATATTTTACAAATGGACAATTGCAACCTCCAATTTATTCTATCTTTGTTAGATGCTGCGAGAGTAAATATGATTGTGTAGTAGCTGGCTAGAAGATTACGTTTGGTTTGCTCTTGTCAAATGGGATGACTATGGCATGAAATTAGCAAAAAGATGATAAATTTGCATATTCGAACTGTGCTTGAGAGCCTGCACTGGCTGATTTATGGTTTTCTTTCTTCTAGGCTTTTGTCTGTTGCACGAAGGCTCTTAAAAACACGGGATTGGGAGGGGTCATCTTGGGCACTGAGTCCAGTTCCTAACAATTTTAGGTGATCAGATTCAAAAATAATTCTTTGTTCTCCATATGCCTCCATTGTACACGAAACACTCCCAGCTGCTTAAGCCAGCTAGAGATCCATAAACAAAATAGCAGCTCCCACAGGAAGAGAGATCAAGGGCATCACTTAATTCCAAGTTTGCTGTTATAGCTATTATAGCAGAAAATGCATTAAGGAAGTGCTTGAATAATCCTAGCAGTTGTCTTGTGCCACAAAGAGAAGCCAAAGCTGGTATAGTTTGCTCATTTTGAGATGAGACCCTATTCCCTAGGTGCTTGATTTCTGTGTCATTTTGAATGAGGAATTCATAGCTTTGCTTTAGGCGCTCTACCCAGGTAAGCCTCGGGGTGGGGGGGGGGGAAGGGGGGCAATGTGTTTTTGTTGCTGT